TGCATCAAAGAATTCAGGCTGTAATAATAATAAAAAACACACAAGATAGAGTAAGCCCTGTGATTTTTTTTTTGTTATAATACCACCTGCACCCTGCAATTTGATTAAGAAAAGACCATTAATTTAAATAATTTCATGTTTTTCAGGTAGATTTCATAAAGCCTAAATTTGATACAGTTAAATATTTATTTTTTGGCCTTTTTTTCATATTTAATTTGTTTATTTACTGCAAAATGGTGGAGCAAAAAGTGTAAGGAACATCCCTGAAGTGTGTCAATTCCATTAAGTTTTGCCAGGAATTCTATGCGCAATGTCTCTTTAGGATGCTTGCAGCCATGGCTCTCCACAATTTCCTGTCCTTTGTCGCTCTTGGTAAATTTTGTCTTTTGTTATCTCTCATAAATTCTTCCGCCAACCATTTGCACAAGCTTGTTAGGTAAGTTATGCATAGTTTCCCTCTGTTCCTCCTGCTTTCAATCTGTCCTTTGTGAAAAAAAGAAAAAGACATTTTTGCCTTCACAGTCTTGAACCATGTAATACTCACCATATGTTAAACATGATGAGAGCACATTGATATTTCTCATCATCTACAGCTTCAGGCAAAAATCTGTCTCATCGTCAATGCAACTATGTTACTTAAATTTGAATAGAAGATACATCAAATTTTTAAGGAAGAATACTGTAGCCAATTCAAAAAACAATCTTAATGGTTAATCAACTTACAGGTTATATTCAATTTGTTTCAATAATAAACACAAAAGGAAAAACTTTTAGTTATGTGTGTGTGTCTTAAAAAAAAAAAGAAAAGAAAAAGGCAATGAATATTTCCCCCAATTCCATATGAAAACTAATGACAAAGACATTTTTTATTTCTGACTACTAGAATGTTTGGTAACTCAACTAATGGACTGCATTATCAACTTCATCAACTCACCGTTTCGCTATAGAAGAATTGAAAGGATCAAAACCCCCAGTTTCCATTTATTTACTTTGCCTTTGAATAGGTCGAGGGCAAAAGTTGTTTTGATGAAAAGCCATAATGAACAAATCATTAGAAATGATGACAATAAAAAAGACAGACAGCATACAACGGAACCTGTGCTCCTGCCAACAAGAGCAAGAGCACACTTCAATTGTGGTTGGTACCAAACAAATTTCCACAGTAGATTATATCGACAATCCTATTTCTAAAGTTGAAAGAATGTCTTCTTACACCTCCACCTAACCATCTCTCAATAACTGTGGGAGAATGAAGACAAGAAAAACTGACAAATTGTGAAGAGAGGGAGACAATTGTAACAAATACTTTCAGATTCTTTGTTAAAAAATGCAAATCTTACTTTGAGCAAATGCCATTGAGAAAGGCATGAACCAAAGACTACATTCATTCATATATTAATAAATATCAACAGACATGATTTGTTTGCGTCTTATTGGCTGACAAAATAAAATACCGACTCAATTATCTGTTCAATAAGAAGAAAAAATGTAGGTAGCAAAGATTAAACCTTACAAGTCTATTATCAAGAAAATAAAACCAAGAGGGAATCAATTTACAAAGAGTAACGGCAAAAAACACTTCTATAGAGTCTCTCTACACATGTTAATTCACACAGGTATGATTGAACTTAAAAATGTATTTTCTTTACTAGTTCTGGTGAGGCTGAAAAACCTGTGTGGGCGTGCAAAGACTGAGTGTAAAGATGACTAGACTTTTTTTTTTTTAAATATTTGTTTTGACCGAATTAAAATGGAAATGTGAAGGTTTTATTTAAATTAAAAAAATAATTTGCTTTAGGATGGCGATCAGCGAACAAGAATTTGTTTAAAAATTAAAGTTAATCGTAAACTAAACAGATATGTCAATAATAGTAACATTGGTAACGACAGACCAAAACAATAATGTAAAAAACTCCTCTCCTCCGTATATTGCTGAATATGAGGGTTGGACATCAGAATGAAAGGTAAAAAAAAAAAATTAAAAATGTAGCTGATAGTTTCAAGTTGCACGTTTTTTTCTTCATACATTTATTTTAATTTCTAAGATCGTTGTTTGTGCATAATTCGATAAAAATCATAAAATAATCTAAATTGGTAGAGAGAAAATGAACAACAAAAAAAAATATATCAATCAAACTGTAGTTTCATAATTTCGAAGAAAAAAATTCTGCAATTGATAAAATTTGTAGGAAGGCTTAACTGAAACTCAAACTGTGAACTCATAAAATGTTTCAAACTTTTAACTTAAGCGAAGATATAAAAAACCAAGCGAATTCAATTTAAAAATCTATGATTAATAAAAGAAAATAAACCAAAAAAGAAAAAAAAAAAGAAGTCAATTGTACTGTTTGTTTCTTTAAATCGGAATAAAAAATTGGGTAACATGTTAAGCAAGGTCGGTTAGTAAACTTAAAAAAAAAAAAAAAAAAAAAAGTTTCCGATAATTAAGAAAATATTGAGAACGTAAAAATTCAATAAGGTGGTTGCTACAGTTCTTAAAAAAAGATAGTTCTTCCTTGCCGCTTATAAGTACTAAGAAAAAGAGTTAGTCGTGTGTAGTTTAAGTATTTATGACAACGACTACCAAGGTCAGAACAACAAAGACGAGCATCAGAATAATTTCCAAAGAGAGAATCTCTGAATTACAAGGAACATCATAAATAATTGGTATCAGCTCCACACCAAGGTCATGAAAAACATTTAAGTTACTTAAAAAAAAAAAAAAAAAAAAAAATGGATAAAAATAGAGTGAGAGAGAGAGAGAAACTGAGGGATGCTTGTTTCAACTCCAAGGTTAGAGAAGGCGGAATAATACCCCACCCTCCGTTCGAATAGTTTCTCTACACACAAGGTTATAAAAAAAGAAAGAGAAAAGAAACCCTTTTCACAGCCAATGACATAGGGTGGGTAAAATTATAATAGAATAGAAAGCCTCTTTCTAAAATATTACCAACAACAGGCTATTCAAGGAGAGACGGGCTGGATTGAGCAAGTGAGTGAGTGACCTTCACCATTAAAAAAAAAAAAAAAAGTCTCTTCGTGTAGGAAACCTATTCAATTCCAAAAACCAAAATTCAATTTGCTTTGCCTCACCCCGCGTCAAATAAAATTAGAAAGAAAAAAAAAAAGAGGAGGGGGGGTATTTTTCTTTTCTTTCATTCTGTCTCTAATTTATCTTTGTCTTTTCAAGGTAATGTTTGTAATTGCCCCGGGGTGAGGAAAAGAAAAGAGATAAGATAAGAAAAGTTCAGGGTTAATTATGGAATCACACAATCAAAAAAGTGTGGGTGATCACATATACAAAAAAAATTTACAAACAATTAAAATAAATATTCCTTGTGGTCCTCCCTACATTTTTTTGGTGGCTGTGATGGAGAGAGTGATAGAAAAACAATTCTAGCTTTAAAAAGATTTTTGTTAAGTGGATTTTTGTATGAATGCAACTTTAAAATTTAAGATAATGAAAGAAAAATTAAATTGAAGAAATATGCACTCGAATCCGGAATTAATGTCTTTAAAAGATGATTTTTTAATTTAATAATTTCTTTTCATTAAAGAAAAAAAAAAAAAAATGCTTTTATTTCGAAAAAAAAAAAAAAAAAAAAACAAAAAACTTTTTTTTTTTTAAAGCCCCAAAAGATAAAATCCATTTGAATTTGTAACTACTTTTTTTTTTTTTTTTTTTTTCTAAATAGAAAACTAAGTTCTTTTAACTAACAAGTGCTCGCCAAGCGCGGGGGCGTTAAAAAAATAAAAAAATAGGCATTTTTTTTGTTTTTGTTTCTTTTTAGTTTTTAAGATGGGTGGTAAAAAAAAAAAAAAAAATTAGACATCTTTAAGAAAAACTTCTCAGTAAAATTCTTTTCAATTTTATTTTTGTTACTAAAAATAATTTTTATGCAAGTATTTTGTATTTCTAGATAAAAAAAAAAAAAAATGAAAATTATTTTTCTTTTTTAGACCTTTAAAATAAAAAAAGAAAAGAAAACAATTTAAAATGAAAATGATCAGCAGAATCCTTTGAAAAGTTCAAGAAAGTATTCAACAACTACAACAAAAGTAAAACAACAAAAAAAAAAAAAACAACAGATCAGATTGAAATTTAAAACATTAAAAAAAAAAAATCTAACTTAAATAATTCTCTAAAGTTTTACTTGAAACAATGATAATTATGAATGATATACATGAAGTTTCAAACTTTAAAAAAGTTAAGGGGTGACGAATGACGACTGTTTTATACTTTTTCACCTTTTAAGGTTTTTTTTTTTTTTTTTTAAACAGAATGAAAGAAATTTGAAAGTCACGAAAAAAGAGAGTGAGGGATGCTTCAGCTTTAAAACAGAACTACTTCTGACATGACAATCATGTGTGTGCATACGGACTACTGAATTATTTGAAAAGGTTCATTTATTTAACAAGTTCAGGAACCAAACCACATTGGAATTTTCATCTTGGAGGTTAATTTACCGTTTATAAAAGAAATAAAAAGGAAAATTACCTACCCCCCCACACCAAATTTGACAAATTAAAATATTCAAATTCAAGTTTTTTTTTTGTTTTTTTTTTATTTAAAGTGAGAAAAAGCAAACATCTGGGTAAGAAAATAAATTATCTTTGTATATTATTTTTTTTCTTTTACAAACAATTTCCAATAGCAAAAATAATTTTGTTTAAAAAACTTTTGATTTGTACGTAAGTAAAAATGAAAAACAATTTTTTAAGCTTCAAGGATGAACAACACTCAAAGTGAAAAATACTCTAAAATTGATAAAATTTTAAAATAAAAATTTGGAAATAAGAAATGTTACCGATATATTAAAACTAGAAAAATTAATTTCTTCTTAGAAATTATTTCTTTTGAAGGAAGTACAACGAATGACATTTTGGTTGAAAAAGGGGGAAAAATAGAAACTTCATAAAAATAGGCAAACGAATCAAAAGCAATACTTTACAACGAAAAGGAATTCTAAAAAGTAAGTTAAAATATAGTGTTAACCTACCTTAGCACTTGTGGCCAAAGTCCGTTTAATCGAGTTGTTGACCAACAAAGTGGTCACTATCTGCCGGCCTCCACGAAACAGCGACATCTTTTTTTCTCTCGCAACGAACGGATCTTTTAATTCAAGTCAGTAAAAAACGAATTTAATAAACCTAACAAGCGCTGCACTGCAAAGATTGATGTTTCTGATCGAGCTTGACCGTGTCAACAACTTAAAAAAGCAAGACAATGGTCATCTGAAGGTTCAACTCTTTAAGAAAATTGGCCAGACACTTACAAGCAAAGAACGGGCCTCTAAGGTCAGGCTCCAATGTCGGCGTCACTGCAACAGGAAGTGAAGAACTGCGCAGGTGCGGTAGTCGTCGTCGTCATAATGATGATGATGAAAATAATAATGATGATAATAATAGCGATAGTAAGATAAGCCACGTGGTCTCCTTCTTGCTTTTACAATGTCAAAAGTTCATTACTTTCCAACTCCCTTTAATGATAGTTTAACCATATTTCCTCTCTACAAGACAGTTAAAAGTTCAAATTCAATCCAAGTCATTTCGTTTTTTTTTATTCACATCAGTGGATGTATCGCGTTTAAAAACACAGTGAGGAAGGATTTTTAATTTCATCGTAATTTTAAACGATTTTTTCTTCTAAAATTGAAGCTATAATTAATTTTTTTTTGTACCAGAATAGTGACTGAAGAGATGTTTAAAAAAACACAACGCCTACTCTAAATTAACATTGGAAATACCATTCTTGGCACGATAGTAACCACAGCAAGTTATCTGTGAGAAAAAAAAAAAAGACGGATATCGTTAAGTTTAGTGTTCGAAATAATTTTTACCTATCAATTACTGAGTTACCTCCCTTATATTACTTTACCAAGACTCATATTATGAGCACCAAAAATGGTACTCATCATAAACTCATATGAGTCTTGAATACAAAATTTATTAAATTAATTAAAATTTGTGACCAATGAGATTTAGGATTTGTAAATACAAAAATAAATAATTCGTTTGGGTTAGGAAATCTTACATCAGAATTAAAACGATATAAAATAAATGAACAACCAATTCATTTTTATTTGCACAAAGACGATCATTAAACTTGAAAATGTCTCTGTCTATTGTTTGTAAAAGAACAACTGCTGTCTAATAATAGGGTGGGTGGGCTTAATGGTTTTGCATGCATTATTAATTTCAACTCTCGGTAAAAGAAAGTCTCGGAATCGTGACCATATTTCGCGAAATAAAATTAATATCATTTATTATTTTTATATTTTAAAATACATTTTTTCGAAATATATACAAATTATTTCCATTCTTTGGGTGCTTGTTAGTTCCTTTTTCTCTGACAAAAAAAACATTTTAAATGAAGCCAGCTATTTTCCATTGTTTTGAGTTGAGTATGAAAAGGATTCATGTGGACTGTAAAATAAATCAACAAAAATAAGTATTTTCAATTTTCATGAATGTATAACTTTATGATTGTACCCCAGACCATCCAGCCATCACTAATGGTCGTAGTAACCTTGTGCTATACATCTTTGGATAACTGCTTCTACCTACAGAGTGGTCTGAAAATCTTGTCACTCCTACATAATATAATTTTCGATTTTAACGCCCTGCTGTGTTCAAGCAGAGAGTTTCACATGAACGATACCAGAATACCATCAGTTAAAGGGCGATGTTCAGAGAGCCTTTGCAACGATCAACAAAGCACAGCTTCGTAAAATTAAAATATCACACAGGAAATGGTGCATCATCTTCTTGTGCCACGAAAATGATGGTGATCATACAGACCTTCTCGATGTGTGACAGCGTGAATGAAAGTAAATAAACTGAATCCAGTACATGGTGCTTTGTATTACTACTTGTTCTTCTATTGTTCTCATTATTTTTTGGGTGACAAGACTTTCTGACCACCCTGTAGAATACTTTTCGATCTACCAGGAAATAAATTCTACAAAGTAATTACATTCTTCAGAATTTCTTTCAATTACTTTTATATATATATATAATGTTTCATCAGTCGCTACTATTTTGTCTGGACCTTCAAGTTTACCATTGTAACGTCCCGCTACCACTTCCTTATCAATGTATAATTTTGTACATTTTTGTGCAAAAAGTGGATCAGAGAGCCTTCTCAGCTTAGTAAATATTTTCAGGAAATATCAGCTTCTAATTGGTCAATAAACACACAAGTGGCCGTTACAATCCACCCACGTAAATATATTTTTTCCAGCGCGTGACCAAGTCAAGTTTCCCGCCAAGGTGCTGTGATTCTGTCACGTGATTACATTATCTATAAATAGCAGACACGGGTTCGCTCATTCTCTTTTACTCTTCCAAATTCCTGCGAAGATGTGATCTTAAGGATTCTCGTCTAGACCATGAGCGGTCAGATGTTTAAAAAAAAAGCATATTCACGCATGCACGTACGTACGAACTTTTCCAACCTACATTACAAACATACAGAACATTTCCAAACATGCAACAAAGACTTTTCTCTTTGAAATATTCTTCTAAAACTACAGTTTAATAATTAATCCAACCTTTGTGAGTTGAGATAAAAATATTCCCAGTTTAAGAGACATAACTCCAACAGATCTTTAACTTCTACGCACAAATCAATACAATGTTATGTTTTAAAACCATTTTGTTCCTTCTTGTATTTCATGCTTTGTGGTATTTTACGTTTAATATAAATTGTGTGGTCATGTTATTCACGCAGCCTTAAACAGACGTCTACAATTGTTCATTCTTATTACCAAGCCACTACATGAAACAACTAGACCACTACACCATCACTTTTTTATTTATTTATTTCAATGAAATAACATCCCTACAAAATCTGAACCAGCCAACTACTGTTTGCTATTCTAGTCACTTTTCAAATCAACCACTCAGGATATCTTTTAGTGTACATAAGTGTATTAAGCAAATTACTTTCATTTTTGATCATGTGAATTATAATCCCTGTTCTATGACTTCGATTCGAGTTTTACCTTCAACTCTTTATTTTTTATTGATAGCTGCATTGTTTCTTTCCGGGTAAACTGACATCTGACTGTTCAAAGAAGACATCAAATTAAAAAAATAACTAGTAGTGCAGAAAAAGGATTTAGCTCGCAAAGACATTAAAGCTGACATGGTTGCTACATTAGGGGATGATGATCCTGCTTCAGCAACAGTACAAAAGTGGGCAGCTGAATTTAGGTGGGAAAAAGATAGTCTTGAAGATGACTCAAGGTTTGGACCTCCTGCAATTGCCACCACCGACGAAAATATTGGTCGTGTTCACCACATGGTGGTGGATGAGAGGCGGTTGACTATAAATCAAATGACCAATGCTATTAGCATATCCCGCGAAAGAGTTCAGAATATCCTGCACAATAAACTTGACATGACGAAGGTTTTTGCTCGGTGGATGCCACGTCTTCTAACACTTGATCAAAAGCCCACAGAGCTGCTCACATCACGGAAAAATCTCGCATTGCTTGAGGCAGATCCAGCTGGTTTCCTTGAACGTTCCCTAACCCAGGATGAGTGTTGGGCTTATCACTTTGAGTCAGAGACAATCCATGCAGTGAAGACACCCCTCCTCACCTTTTTCAAAGAGGCTAAGGTCATTTCATCTGCAGGGAAGGTGATGGCCTCAGTTTTTTTTTTATGCAAAGGGCATTTTCAAAAGGGTCACACTATCAATGAAGAGTACAATGCCAATTTCCCAAGGCAGTTACGAAATTCTATCACAACCAAACGCCAAGGGAAACTGATGAAATAGATTTTGTTTCACCAGGAAAATGTTCTATCACACAAGTCCTTGGTTTCAATGGCTGCTGTGTACGACTGTGTTGATCACTGTCCCTATTGTCCTGGTTTTTAATTATAATTCTTTTTTCTTATCTAATAAAAAACGGACTCAAAATATGAGGAGATATAAAGCAATCTGGAGGAGGTAAGTCAGTAATTAAAAATTGTTTTAGATGCTAAACTAGACGATACCCAATAAATGTTTCTGTGTCTGGTAAAATCAGTTTCGACATTTTAATGTGGTATTTAATTAAAAAAAAAATGAACGGTAAGGGGATTTCCTTTGCCTCTTTTATATTTTTAAAGTTTAGAATTTTAAATGTCTCTGCTCGGGCAGAGGCTAACTTTGCTTCCCCCGAGGGAGCTGCCAAAGGGCCAGCTCACAAGCCGGTAGCGGCGTTTTCCTTTGAGAACATGTCTTCACCAAATGTAGAAACTATCTCCGGCTCGCATTCCTCATGTTAAAAAAAGCGCATGATTTAACGTTTCTTGTTTGAGAGGAACATGTTCTCGCTAGTGACATAGAATATAAATCCTGGCCGCTCGAATATCCGATAGGAATCCTATATATGGATTCTCAAGAAACATAGAAGGATACTCCGACAGCTCAAGTTCCCGTTGGAAATTATGACAAGTAAAAATCACTCTTTTCGTCCCCTTTCACATTGCTATGTTTCTGTAGACATGTGTTATAGTTTCTCTGCGTGGGATAAATATATATATATGTGTATTGTGTATATCATTTTGTATATGCGGTCCAAAATTCATTGAAAACAAAACATATTTCTCATGCCTTTTCTTTCAGCTAATCCGTACTGTCCGTGAAATAAGGTGTTATTATATTATATATATGATAATGCCCATAATGGGGGAAATTCAAACGGGTGAATATTCCTTTCTTTCGTAGCTCAACCATTAGTGTGAAACTAACCCTCCAAGTTTCCATCGAAGATGCAATGTAATTCGTTCGCTGCAAAAGTACGTGCCTGATTTTTATTGTTAATTTAAAATTACCGCAATTTGACACTGATGTTTGGTGCTGATTTCTGGTGTGTTCTAGAATGAAACCTTGCACCGTTCAGTTGCGAATCAGACTTTGTTAAATGTTGACGTTCTGTCCACATATGAATGCTTTAAAGATGGCGGATGAGAAGTTACACTTTTGCCATTTTGGAAAGGAATAAGCGTCGGAACTGCGATAAACAAATAGTAATAAAAAATATTCAGAAGGTTTACTCTTCAGACAGTCAAAAAGTGATTCGGTAGATTTCGT